AGAGAGACCAGAGAGAGACCAGAGAGAGACCAGAGAGAGACCAGAGAGAGACCAGAGAGAGGCCAGAGAGAGACCAGAGAGAGACCAGAGAGAGACCAGAGAGAGACCAGAGAGAGAGACCAGAGAGAGACCAGAGAGAGACCAGAGAGAGACCAGAGAGAGACCAGAGAGAGACCAGAGAGAGAGACCAGAGAGAGACCAGAGAGAGACCAGAGAGAGACCAGAGATGCAGTCATACATTTTAGCATGCTAGTTGTGTTCTTTCCTGCCGTGGCCAAACTCTGCTGTTCTTACAACAAAATGAAAAATATTTTTTCTCCTTTTGATATTTTCCGTCTCTAAAAACCCTCCACGACTCATTACACTCGTCCTGTTAGTTACTCTCATCCCGGAGTCGGACCCGTAACCACGACAACAGAAGCCCCATTAAGGTAGGCCTCGGACAGATGGAGAGACGTCTCCGGTGTTGTTCCGGGGCCGCTGCTCCGTGGAGTGCCCTCTTCATAAATGTAATTAGTCTTCATTTACCCCAACCAGAAATGGCCGCCGTATCGCCATGGCAACCCACCGCCGCCAAGAGACCCCGAAGGATCGGAGACCAAGACTCCCCTGGTCCTTTATCTGAGCTATTAGCACCAACACAAATGGGCCCAGAGCCTCGGTTTGGATGAAGTCGGAAACATTAAAGTGAAAAGATTGTGTGATTGTAATTGAGTCTCAGTGAAAGCCGCGGGTCGTTTGGGCTTAATGGTTCCATTGATGGTACCAGCGGTGAGTGGCGGCCTGCGGCTTTGTGTGGCGCTGGTGTGTCGCCGGTGTGTGTCTCTGGTGTGTGTCGCTGGTGTTTGTCGCTGGTTTGTGTGGCATGTGCAATTGCGATGGTATTTGGCCGTTTGTTTGTCGCTGCTGAGGATCTTATATGTAGATCTGAGGCTGTAGATGGTCTCTCTCTGGTCTCTCTCACTGGTCTCTCTCTCTGGTCTCTCTCTCTGGTCTCTCTCTGGTCTCTCTCTGGTCTCTCTCTGGTCTCTCTCTGGTCTCTCTCTCTGGTCTCTCTCTCTGGTCTCTCTCTCTGGTCTCTCTCTGGTCTCTCTCTGGTCTCTCTCTGGTCTCTCTCACTGGTCTCTCTCTCTGGTCTCTCTCTCTGGTCTCTCTCTGGTCTCTCTCTGGTCTCTCTCTGGTCTCTCTCTCTGGTCTCTCTCTGGTCTCTCTCTGGTCTCTCTCTCTGGTCTCTCTCTGGTCTCTCTCACTGGTCTCTCTGGTCTCTCTCTGGTCTCTCTCACTGGTCTCTCTCACTGGTCTCTCTCTGGTCTCTCACTGGTCTCTCTCTGGTCTCTCTCACTGGTCTCTCTCACTGGTCTCTCTCTGGTCTCTCTCACTGGTCTCTCTCACTGGTCTCTCTCACTGGTCTGTCTCTGGTCTCTCTCTGGTCTCCCTCTGGTCTCTCTCTGGTCTCTCTCTCTGGTCTCTCTCTGGTCTCTCTCTCTGGTCTGTCTCTGGTCTCTCTCTGGTCTCCCTCTGGTCTCCCTCTGGTCTCTCTCTGGTCTCTCTCCTTCTTTAACATGCCGTGGCACATGTCTCTCTCTTATCGCAGTAGATTCCAATTATCTTGTGTAAACTTTGCTCTCGTCAGAGTGAGTCCTGGACATGAGTCAACATTTACCTGCAGCTTTAGCAGAAGCCACTGACGGACTCCTCCTGGTCTCTGACGGACTCCTCCTGGTCTCTGACCTCCTGGTCTCTGACGGACTCCTCCTGGTCTCTGACCTCCTGGTCTCTGACGGACTCCTCCTGGTCTCTGACCTCCTGGTCTCTGATGGACTCCTCCTGGTCTCTGATGGACTCCTCCTGGTCTCTGACGAACCCCTCCTGGTCTCTGATGGACTCCTCCTGGTCTCTAACGGACTCCTCCTGGTCTCTGATGGACTCCTCCTGGTCTCTGACGGACTCCTCCTGGTCTCTGACCTCCTGGTCTCTGACGGACTCCTCCTGGTCTCTGACCTCCTGGTCTCTGACGGACTCCTCCTGGTCTCTGATGGACTCCTCCTGGTCTCTGACCTCCTGGTCTCTGACGGACTCCTCCTGGTCTCTGACCTCCTGGTCTCTGACGGACTCCTCCTGGTCTCTGACGGACTCCTCCTGGTCTCTGATGGACTCCTCCTGGTCTCTGACGGAGTCCTCCTGGTCTCTGACGGACTCCTCCTGGTCTCTGACGGACTCCTCCTGGTCTCTGACGAACTCCTTCTGGTCTCTGATGGACTCTTTCTGGTCTCTGACGGACTCCTCCTGGTCTCTGATGGACTCCTGGTGGTCTCTGATGGACTCCTCCTGGGCTCTGACGGACTCCTCCTGGTCTCTGACGGACTCCTCCTGGTCTCTGACGGACTCCTCCTGGTCTCTGACGGACTCCTCCTGGTCTCTGACGGACTCCTCCTGGTCTCTGACGAACCCCTCCTGGTCTCTGATGGACTCCTCCTGGTCTCTGACGAACTCCTCCTGGTCTCTGACGAACTCCTTCTGGTCTCTGATGGACTCTTCCTGGTCTCTGACGGACTCCTCCTGGTCTCTGACGGAGTCCTCCTGGTCTCTGACGGACTCCTCCTGGTCTCTGACGGACTCCTCCTGGTCTCTGACGGACTCCTCCTGGTCTCTGACGGACTCCTCCTGGTCTCTGATGGACTCCTCCTGGTCTCTGACGGACTCCTCCTGGTCTCTGACGGACTCCTCCTGGTCTCTGACGGACTCCTCCTGGTCTCTGATAGACTCCTCCTGGTCTCTGATAGACTCCTCCTGGTCTCTGACGGACTCCTCCTGGTCTCTGACGGAACCCTCCTGGTCTCTGACGAACTCCTCCTGGTCTCTGACGGACTCCTCCTGGTCTCTGACGGACTCCTCCTGGTCTCTGACGGACTCCTCCTGGTCTCTGATGGACTCCTCCTGGTCTCTGACGGACTCCTCCTGGTCTCTGACGGACTCCTCCTGGTCTCTGATGGACTCCTCCTGGTCTCTGACGAACCCCTCCTGGTCTCTGATGGACTACCCCTGGTCTCTGACGGACTCCTCCTGGTCTCTGACGAACTCCCCCTGGTCTCTGACGGACTCCTCCTGGTCTCTGACGGAGTCCTCCTGGTCTCTGACGGACTCCTCCTGGTCTCTGACGAACTCCCCCTGGTCTCTGACGGACTCCTCCTGGTCTCTGACGAACTCCTTCTGGTCTCTGATGGACTCTTCCTGGTCTCTGACGGACTCCTCCTGGTCTCTGATGGACTCCTGGTGGTCTCTGATGGACTCCTCCTGGTCTCTGACGGACTCCTCCTGGTCTCTGACGGACTCCTCCTGGTCTCTGACGGACTCCTCCTGGTCTCTGACGAACTCCTTCTGGTCTCTGATGGACTCTTCCTGGTCTCTGACGGACTCCTCCTGGTCTCTGACGGAGTCCTCCTGGTCTCTGACGGACTCCTCCTGGTCTCTGACGGACTCCTCCTGGTCTCTGACGGACTCCTCCTGGTCTCTGACGGACTCCTCCTGGTCTCTGATGGACTCCTCCTGGTCTCTGACGGACTCCTCCTGGTCTCTGACGGACTCTTCCTGGTCTCTGACGGACTCCTCCTGGTCTCTGATGGACTCCTCCTGGTCTCTGACGGACTCCTCCTGGTCTCTGACGGACTCCTCCTGGTCTCTGACAAAACCCTCCTGGTCTCTGACGAACTCCTCCTGGTCTCTGACGGACTCCTCCTGGTCATAGAACCTCAAATATTGGGAATTATGAAGTGTCAGAGAGTGGAGTTTGGTTTTGTGCATAGAGAGACCAGAGAGAGACCAGAGAGAGACCAGAGAGAGACCAGAGAGGGACCAGAGAGAGACCAGAGAGAGACCAGAGAGAGACCAGAGAGAGACCAGGGAGAGACCAGGGAGTGACCAGGGAGAGACCAGGGAGTGACCAGGGAGAGACCAGAGAGAGACCAGAGAGAGACCAGAGTGAGACCAGGGAGAGACCAGGGAGTGACCAGGGAGAGACCAGAGAGAGACCAGAGTGAGCCCAGAGAGAGACCAGAGAGAGACCAGGGAGAGACCAGGGAGAGACCAGAGAGAGACCAGAGTGAGCCCAGAGAGAGACCAGAGAGAGACCAGAGAGAGACCAGAGAGAGACCAGAGAGAGAGACCAGAGAGAGAGACCAGAGAGAAACCAGAGAGAGAGACCAGAGAGAGACCAGAGAGAGACCAGAGAGAGACCGGAGAGAGCCCAGAGAGAAACCAGAGAGAGACCAGAGAGAGACCAGAGAGAGACCAGAGAGAGAGCCCAGAGAGAGAGACTAGAGAGAGACCAGAGAGAGAGCCCAGAGAGAGAGACTAGAGAGAGACCAGAGAGAGAGCCCAGAGAGAGAGACTAGAGAGAGGCCAGAGAGAGAGCCCAGAGAGAGAGACTAGAGAGAGACCAGAGAGAGAGACCAGAGCGAGCCCAGAGAGAGAGAGACTAGAGAGAGACCAGAGAGAGAGACCAGAGAGAGAGACCAGAGAGAGACCAGAGAGAGACCAGAGCGAGCCCAGAGAGAGATCAGAGAGAGAGACCAGAGAGAGAGACCAGAGCGAGCCCAGAGAGAGACCAGAGCGATGCCAGAGAGAGAGACCAGAGAGAGACCAGAGAGAGACCAGAGAGAGAGACCAGAGAGAGACCAGAGAGAGAGACTAGAGAGGGACCAGAGAGAGAGACCAGAGCGAGCCCAGAGCGAGAGACCAGAGAGAGAGACCAGAGAGAGACCAGAGAGAGACCAGAGAGAGAGACCAGAGAGAGACCAGAGAGAGACCAGAGAGAGACCAGAGAGAGACCAGAGAGAGACCAGAGAGAGACCAGAGAGAGACCAGAGAGAGACCAGAGAGAGAGACCAGAGCAAGCCCAGAGACCTTGCACATTAGTATTAAAGCAGTTGGTGAAACCCTCTGGTGCAGACGGTTCTGATCCGCAGAAACAGCTCAGACAGAAGCAATCGTCCGGAGCAGCGATGCGGAACTGCGGCGGCAGCTTCTACTCTTCCATCACAGCACGGCTATTTGTCCCTGTGCTCCCCCAGTGGGTGACGGAGCACCCCCCCCCCCCCCCCCAGACCCCTCTGAATAACTCAGAGCATTAAACACAATCATACGCACTAATGCTTCTGATTGAGGAGGTTTTTGGAGTTTTGGTAATTGTTCCATTTTTGACAAAACGTTGGTAACGCCTGGACCTGACCCTTTGTTCTTTTCTCTCTCTCTCTGGTCTTTCTCTATGTCCTTTCTCTGGTCTCTCTCCTGGGTAGAGTAGAGTAGGGTAGAGAAGAGTAGGTTAGGTTAGAGTAGGGTAGGGTAGAGCAGAGCAGGGTAGGGTAGGGTACAGTGTAGGGTAGAGTAGGGTAGAGTAGAGTAGGGTAGAGTAGGTTAGAGTAGGGTAGGGTAGAGCAGAGTAGGGTAGGGTAGGGTAGGGTAGGGTAGAGCAGAGTAGGGTAGGGTAGGGTAGGGTAGGGTAGAGCAGAGTGTAGGGTAGGGTAGAGTAGAGTAGGGTAGAGTAGGTTAGAGTAGGGTAGGGTAGAGCAGAGTAGGGTAGGGTAGGGTAGGGTAGAGCAGAGTAGAGTAGGGTAGGGTAGGGTAGGGTAGAGCAGAGTAGGGTAGGGTAGGGTAGGGTAGGGTAGGGCAGGGTAGGGTAGGGTAGCAGCCAATCTCCGTAACCCGTCGTCCAGAGAATCTCTCAGTTTGGGACGTCTGTGCTCATGAACTGTCATTATTCTGTTAGCGGGTTCATTAGCATTAGCATTACATTAGCATGCTAGCATCTCTCAGCCCACATGGTTCAGGTCAGAGGGATCAAAGGTGTTTGCACCGACACAATATTCAACGTCAAATTATGTTTGTCGCCCTAAACCAGTCTCTCAGGACTTTGGAAAGTTCTGGATTCACCAACAACAGATTAGAAAATCAAACACACGAGGAACGGCCCTGTGTGACCAGTACCAGGTCCTTCATGGTCCTGCGTGACCAGTACCAGGTCCTTCATGGTCCTGCGTGACCAGTACCAGGTCCTTCATGGTCCTGTGTGACCAGTACCAGGTCCTTCATGGTCCTGCGTGACCAGTACCAGGTCCTTCATGGTCCTGCGTGACCAGTACCAGGTCCTTCATGGTCCTGTGTGACCAGTACCAGGTCCTTCATGGTCCTGCGTGACCAGT